AATAAACAAGTATATATGTTGTGCCACAGATTAACGCTTTTCTCAGATCACAGCTAATACATCTCAGATATAGACTGTTAGGTAAATACGTAACCTATTGATCAATCAATAAATATAAAAAAAACTTATATAAGTAAAAATTAGTGAAGATTAAACATGCCAAAAAATTAAGATAAGAATAATATATCGCAAAAATTTAGCCAAAAAAACTATATATATAGAGAAAAAAAGTATATATTAATTGAAAATAAATGTGCGGTGAAAATTCAAAGAAATTTAAAGAAAAGAATAGTACTGAAGAGACTTAATGTAAAAGAATGCTACTGTTGGTGGTAAAATACCAAAAATGCTACTGGAAGTAAGATGATGCCACATGATTCAATGATATAGAATACTACTGGAGGTAAGATGATGCCAACGTGATTCAATGATATAGAATGCTACTGGAGTTAAGAAAGACAACAAAGTAATTTAAAATAAAAAATGTTATCAGTGAGAAAAATGCCGAAAAGATCCAAGAACCCAAGAATAAAATAATTTCAAGTAAAAGGTTTTTTATTCAATTTATTTTACTCTCTTACTTTCGTCAGATTGTAGCTTAGATGATAGATCAGATGATTTGCATCTGAAGTAAATCAGCTGTGATCTGAGGATACCAAAATTTAGATTTAGATTTAATCAATTTCTCCCCAAATTATCTAAAATTTCACTAATGAAATGGTAGCCCACGTACTAAGTAAAGCTATCCAGATGATAATTTTGCAGTAGTATAGGTGGCTTGTATTATTTCTTAATGCCAGCCTAGCTCTGATCCTATTCTGTCTCTAAATTTTGGTCGATCTACTGAATTTTGATTACTCCACTAATCAATCTGAGGCACAACATATATAAGTTGGTTTTAAAGCTTAAATAGAAATCTAAAATTTTATTTTAATTCAATTTTAATTATTCTAGCAAAGAAAAAAAAACTTTATTACAATTAAATAACATTATCACTGTTTTTGATTTAGTTGAATCATTTAATTTTGCAGATTATTTTTTCTGAATCCTGTGAATCCTGTGAATTCCATGATCATACCATAGGTAGCTACCCTTTATTTGTCATATTCTGTGAAATTCATTTAACAATTAGTGATTATTTCTGTTTATTAATATATTTTCTTTTTACAGACTCCCTTTATTAGCGATATATTATTGATACACATGAATACTAAAGCGGCTAAGTGAATTTTTGAAATCCTAAAAACTAAACACTTTTTTTTTGCCTTTCCCTACTAAACAAAAAATAAATTATTCGATTATAAAGCTTATTTACAGTATCGGTGTAATAATAAGTCTTAGTTCTCTTCACAAAAAATGATCAAGAAGTTATATTTGTAAGCTATGGCTTCTTCTCAAAAAGGTAAATAATTAAGGATTTAGATCATACGTAGTGACAGTTCCTCCCAAACAAGTAAACAATCTAGAATTTGTTATAAGCTATGGTTTTTTAAAAAAAGCGAACAATCTGGAGTGTTAGTAAGTTACGGTTTCTTCAAAAAGCAAACAATCTAGAGTTTTAGATATAGGTTATGGTCTTTTCAAAAAAGTGATCAATTTATTGTAAATTACAGTTTTCTACAAAAAAAAAATAAATAAATAAACTTCTATAGATGAATGATTCGTTGCTTGCTAAAACAATTATTAGTTTTTTTTTATAAATCAGTTTATTTTTTTTTTTTACTGTATACAAAAAACCTGATAAAAAAACTTTATGATTCAAACTTTTACTATCGTTTTTGAATTATGGGAAAAGAACTAAGCGAAGATTTGCATTGGCGAGTTATATATCATCATATAGATGGTTGCAATGAATATGAAATCGCCGAAATGCTTTATATAAGCCAGCTATCTGTTAATAGAATTCTCAAGAATTATAATAAATAGAAACATGTCATTAACTCTTTTAAAGCTCCACAAGGTAAACAGAAATTATTTTCAGATGAAGAATTAAAAATTCTTAAGAATATGGTTAAGGAAAAGGTCGATTGGTATTTAGACGAACTTGTAATTAAGATAGAGAACTTAACCGGCAAATGTACATCAATTTCAGCATTGTGATGTTCACTAAAACATTTGAGAATTACACATAAAAAAGTAATTATTCAAATAAGGTTTGATTTTATATCTGAGCGCCACTAAGAGAAAACCTGTAATTTTATCTAATAATAATTAGATTTTCTCTTAATGGCACTATGGTATGTTTTAATTGATGATATCTTATATATATATATTGTTATTTAAGCTACAAAAGGCAGTATATAAAAAAAATAAAATAGTTTGTAGTGCATTTATTGCCAAAATTGGGATGAATTATACACCAAAACAATTGATTTTTTTGGATGAAAGTACAAAAGATAAATGAAGCCTTACATGATTTTATGGATATGCAGTAGCTAATGCATGAGCATGTAAATGTTGTGTTTTTTATGAGGTAAGCGGTATACTATTTTACCAGCATTATCGTTAGATGGAATAATGGCTGTTGATATAATAGAGGGAAGTTGCACCAAAGACCAATTTTCAGAATTCATATTGTCTCAAGTAGTTAGTATCCTAATTTTAAAACTATTTATGAAGTTGCATCAATTAGTATTTTAAGTCGACATAGTATTAGTCGACTAAATCAGTTTTTTAAAGTAATAGCTTAGTTAACTATTAACCTGTACTAGCATAAAAACAAAAACTTGTTACATTATAAATAAATATGAAGCAATTGCAGACTTAAATAAATTATTAGAAATTAAACCGAATGATGTATTCTCGTTGAGGCAACTTACAATATGCAAATACAAGAGATTACTTGATTTAAATAAATCATTTAAAAAGTATAAATGTGTCAAAAAAATCGTAAATATATTGTTAATTAGAAGGATATGAGAAATCGCTTACAAATTCTCAATACCGCAATAGTGCAAATACATTATAAAAAGATACAAATTTAAGCAAATCATTAGTGTTGAATCAAAATAATGCAGAAGTATTTAGAGGTCGTGAAAAAACTTAATAAATATTAAGAAAACATAAAGAATCAATTGGAGATCATTAGCAATTGATCTGGATAATATAGTTGCATTAAGGTGAGCATATATTTTGAATCACTAGCAGATTTAAATAAATTATTATAAATTGATCCTGATAATATTCATATTAGGAAGCCGTGAAGAAACTTATTATATAATATCAAAGAAAAACTTTTTGTATGATGAAAAAATATGATCACCCTTTGATTTTTAAATAGATGATCCAAATAATACATTTACACTAAGATGATATAGAACAACTAAGAATCGCTTGCAGCTTTAGATTAATCATTAAAAATTGAACAAAATAATCTATTTGCATTAAGTGAATGTGAATGGAATTGTAGTACAATTAAATAATCAACAATCAATCTTTATCAGTTCTAGAATTAAGAATAGCTATAAATGCTTATATGCTATGTTATATATAATAATAGTTGACTAAGATTAATTAAAAATATTAACTCAACTAAGCTTAACTACAAACACTCATACAAATTAATTTTTTTTAATTTAGATTCCTTTAATGAATCCATATTCTAGTAAAAATAGTGTTATCATTTTAGACAAGCAACAATTCACTATAACGAAGAGCTAGTTGAAACAATAAGAGGGTTAGGATATCGAATTGAATTTTTTCTGTCTTATTCTTCAGATTTTAATCTGATAGAGACTGCATTTAGTACTATAAAAAGTTGGATTAGATGTAATAGAGATTTTATAAGTTTATGTAATAATCCTATTCATGCATTAATGATAGCATATTCCCAAATTACGGGCAAGATGGCAGAAGGATTCTTTAAAGAGTCTATATATACATAATTATATAATTTCAAAAAAATAAATAATAGGTAAATAATTTTTTTTTACAATCTACATAATAATATTATTATTGTCAGCTATTAAATGCTGATTTGAATTATAAATTTTAAAATAAATAAATGCTATTTGACAATTTTGCCCAATATTGCATATATACCTGTGAAACGAGATGAAGTTTATAGAACATATAAGTCTATCAAGCTAAAATGAGTAATGATTGTTATCAAAAATCTTCTGATATATTTATTAACGTAAATTGCCATATAGAGTTACATTTGTTATGTTAATTTTTGTCATAGCTTTAATTGTTACATCATTTTCCGTAATAGGTTGGATCTATAATTACATTTTTTGGTTATCATAACTAGTTCTTGTCTAAATCGGAATACGTACGTACGTACGTATTGTAACTGTATAAATACAATTCTTTTGGTTAATAAAATGGGGGAGAGTAAATATATAAAATATTCATTCTGAACCCTATTAAAATATTTAGCGAATTGAAAAGAGTGTAAAAATAGAGGATATAGTTGCGAATATAAAATGAATAATGATAGAAAAAAGATAAAGATGAGTAGTGGTTAATAACTGTAAAACACACAAATAAAATTAAGAAAGTTAATAATTAGTTTTATTAACTTACTTATTTGCATTACTCAACAAAAAAATTTTTGTGAATATCATGAATGCTCTGAATTTGATTGCATCAGCACAGTAATTACATTGATCAAATAGAGTAGTTTAGTTAGAATATTATATTGTAGAATTTGTGCCAAAATATTTTCCAACATACAGTAATTATTATTATTGTGCATATGTAATGAGTATTCGTGATAATAAAAAATCAGTTATTATTTTCAGCCATTTTCGAAAATAGCGATAATTTAATTGGCAAGTATATCCAGAAAAACCTAATACCCAGCAGTTTTAAAAACTTTATTGAAATTAAAAGTTAATTTCTAATAGTATACGATATATAAAAAAAAATTTCATTCATATATTAAGTTTAATAAATTCTAATGAAATATCTATATTAATATAACATATTAATAGTATTCTTGGGTTGTAACTGACTTTTTTGATAAAGCCAGAAACTTCTTTAACGAATTCATTGAAATGATCTCCAGACCATTGAATTGTGTTCATCTTGTTAATAGCAACAATAAGTTGTTTAACATCAAGTATATAAGCCAAAGAGCAAGTTTACGAGTTTGATTCACAGGTTGAATGAAGCTATATCAGAAATATGCAAACTGGGTAAGAATCAGAGACATATTGGAAGCTGATATGTGTCAATAGTTAGTATCAAAATATCATAAAGCTATCAGGAATACTGATAGATCTATCAGGATATCCAAAAATAGCCTGATATATTTTAATAATATAGGGATAAAATCGGAAATATATCAAAATTTCAATATATCTATCTATAAATTTATAGAGTTATGATTTTTCCTAAATAGTTATAGATATTTTAAAGTAATATCAGTAAATTATCGAAGTGCTGATAGCTATATCAGTTATTAATAAATCAGATAAAATTTGTATTATACTGACAACAGATTTATGTCTATAATTATTTGAAATTTAACTAATAAATCTTATATATATATGAAAATATCAGATACTATCAATGCTAAACTTTTAAATTTTTACTTAAAATAATTATAAATTTAAATATGAAACTTTCTATTAACTGGAATGACAGACAAATATTCTCGCAGGTTTTTTTTTCTGACTACAACTGTTCTGGATATAAATCTGCCTAAAATATTATGGATAGGGATAATACAATCCCTACTTACTCCTTATTCCATAGTTCAACATTACAAATATTACTGATTTGGCAATGATATCTTATCCTTAGGTCATCAACAGCTTGATACTATCGTACAAAAGCCAATACATGTTTTTTTGAACCTTCTGGTAGATAAACCACATGTTCAAAATAATATTGAACGATGCCAGAATATATGTTGACATTATTATCATTCAATATGAATTTTGCAAGTATTTTTGCTGACTTCATATGTCTCTTCGAAAAATTTGACCCAAATATTTCATCACCAATTTTTACTCTTCTATAAATCATGATACTAGGTAATACTATTATAGATGCTAGTGGCCCGATATGTATTTCATATAATAAAACAAAATTATAATCATATGCATTGTTATAATAGTCAGTTAACAATGATATTAATTGTCTCAGAAGTTTCTGTCAATCCTTTTTAGGGCCTAGTAATTCACACGGAAATGGTTCGGAGCCTGTTCTAGAATTTTCTTCAATGTTCACAGATATTAACAGAAACTCCTAGTGATCATTTCCATTATATATAGAAAGGCTACTGCTCATTGTTTCATGCTCAATAAACTGCAAACAAGTTTTCAAATGACCATCTACATGTGATAAAAGTTCATCAAGGAAAGAATTACATTGCATAATTCTAATAAACTCTGGCTCGATCTTTCTGTTGCTGCTATGAAATAACCCTATAAATTTTAGTATAACCTATATGAGCTATCGGTCATTTAATATGACTATTTGAGTGTTTCCAAAAGAAAACATGCATATTTATATATATATAGACTCTATATATTATACATATTTTCTTTTGTGATACTCATTTAAATTTTATAACATCAACTTACCCAACAAACCATTCATTCTTTTATAACTAAAACACCAAAATGTGTATAATGGTCTATAATCCATAACACATTTACATATATATAAACATAAATATAAATTAGGCATTATTTTTTCAGATCTATAATTTTTTTCAATGAGCTTCACCATTTTAAGAAAACATTGGTGAGCCTCCTCCAAACTATCCATAGATATGATTCGGCATACCAAAATAGAACATGCACGAACAAAATAGATAAGAATTTGTTAGTTAATTTCACGCAGCAAGTCTCAAGTAATAGATATTACATACACTAGAATGAAAGTCTTCCATTGGTCTGCAGTAAATCCTGAAAAACCTTCACCTATTACGATTTTGTAAGGGATTTGGCTGATGTCCGTTGGAACCTTTATTTTTTTAGCCCAATTTTCTATTAGAGCAAGATCATGTGGTGTTAGAATCCCTTCATCTATCCATAATTTGATGATCCATTTAGCAATGTCTAAAAATAGACAATGCATTGGGTCTATTACAAGAAACCTAACTGAATTAAAATAAGTGAGATGGTAAATTTCTAACCAACGGACTAAAGTTTCTGATGTATACTTCTGTCTTGCATCTTCTGTATTACAATCCTTCCACGTGACGGTGTTTTGACGAATTTTATCGATATTTCTTTCAACAAACCATTCATCTATATCGGCAAAACCACCAAAGTTGGGCTGATTCTTTTGGTCAAAATTGGCCCTCTTTAAACATCTGTGACAAGCAATTCTGGCCGAAATGTGCCTATATAGCTTTCTTGTAGCAGGAATGTCGCAAGAACAACATATTACTATAGCTCTAATAAATTTGCCGATAGAACTTTCGAAAGTGCTTGACAATTTGACTCCTAAATTTATGTTAATTATAATAATACTAAAGACTTGGTGGACTAAGTCTATTATAGGTAACTCAGGTAGAGTTTCACTATTGCTAAACCATGTCATGAGATCATATGACTTTACCAAAATTATATGTAATCTTATAACATGTTTAGCAATAGTAAAACTTTACCAGAGTCATCTATAATAGATTTAATCTTATATGATATTAAATTTATTATTTACCATGCTACAAATCGACTAATTGATCAATTAATGGTGCTAGATAATGGTTTAGTTGATGTAGTTTTGGTTCGTTAGGTCTGGGTATTAATGCCAATATCAATATGTTTGCCAGCTTAAATCACTCATCACGTAGAAGATTACATATAACGCCATAGATTGCTCTAACACTGTATGAGGAACTATCAAACGGTTGGAACCAATCTAAGTTGATCATCAAACCCAAATAACGATCCAATAGCTCCTTCTGAAAGAATAGTAAATCTTCATTTGGGTCTTGAAAAGTTTTCCAAATTCTTTTGTCAAATATGTCAGAAAGACGCTTAGGGTCATTAAGTCTTTCTGTCCATTTTCTACAGGACACTTCAAACCCCTTCCAGTTATATAACAGCTGAAATTGATATTTTAAAGAAACTGTTGAAAAAATTAACAATAGCCTATATATTACAACTTTTGATATATGAACTTTTTTGTAACAGGGTAACCGCAAGGGCTTCTTTTATTGGCTATTGGATGATTCGAAAGGTCTGGGAAAGTGCAATGGCTTATTTTAGAAGCTAAGTTTGGTTTGGTGATAGATACATCTGTTACTTTGTATAATTTACAATATTGCTCACATGTTGCATATTTGATCATGTGAGCACAGACACCAAGATTTGTTCATGCCATTTTCAGTGACGAAGAAAAAGAGGAGTATGTTTTTTCATCATGAAGAATTAAGAGATACCAGACAAATTTTATTAGAGATTCAGTAGCTATATTAGGTAGCTTATACTTTTTTTGGTATTTTAAAATCCACAATAAGATCTATACAAACCTTTAAGCATATCTATAGGACTGAAGATTGTTTTGGTTGTTCTGTTCCTTCCTCATTATTTTCTGGTGCATTAAAACTAATTTCTTGGTCCGATAATTCATCATCTTCAACGTCTGATAAGTCTTCAATGATATCTTCTTCGTTAGAGAAAAAATTCTCTATGAAAGTAAGATTTGACATACCCCTCCTTCCCCGTTTCAAACTGGTTTCTTTCCCTTTTTAGGTTGACTTTTAGCAATGAAACTATAATCTTTTTACATGAAGAAACATCCAAATCATTGTCTGAACTATTAATATGCATTGGTTCATCAATAGCCAGAAGCTCTTCCGAACTATCAATATGCATTAGTTTTTCATAAATATCTATATCTGAAAGGTCTTCTGGGATGTCTATTTTTGGAAATGCAATTGTAGAAGTAACTGCAGCCCTATTAGAAGATTCATCAGCATCCTGATAATTTCTTGTTATATCTGTAAAGCTATTTTTTAATATATAGGCGTTTCTTGTTCGTGGATCAACAAGATTACCATTACAACTATTGCAATAACAAGCCTTACGGAGGCAGTTTTTTGAGGAGTTGAAATAATTTGCTTTGTCAATAGTTTTTTTAACGAAAAATCTTTTTTGGTGACCCATTATGA